AAATATATATTATTCTATATAATTGTCATTGTTTATAGCACTTAAAATAATGTCTGTCATATAGTTACCCAATAAATATTTGATGAATGCAGAACAAATTAAGTCAATGAATAAAATAAAATTTCTAATTAATTAAACATTCACAGGTTTATTCATTCACAAATTTTTCTGGAGGGCTTCATATGTGCAAAATATGTTTTAACTCTTAAAATACAAAAATTTATAATACTGCTGCAGCTTTTGAAGAACACACAGTTTATTAGAAGGGACATATAACTACAGCTTAAAATATGCTTAACTGTAACCACAGCTTAAAAAATGTTCGAAATTATATTTTAGGATAGAGGATTTGGAAACTACTATTGCCATCAGAGACTGTCTTCCAATGTCATTTTTGTTTTGTTTTTCTTTGGTTTAAATACAAATTATTTATTTCCAAACATTCTAGAGAGTCTAAAAAAAAAGCTAGGAACTTTAACAGGAATGTATCAGGAATATCTAAAATATGTTTTGCTAATCAAAATAAAACAGTGTATGAGTGTGCAAAATGAATAACTGATTCCAAGTAAGTTATGAGAAAACATAAGGTAAAAATACCCAGGTTTAGTGGTAATAACATTTATTTAGAAACAGTTGAAAATACATTAAACAATCTGTTCTTACTTGTACATCTTTCTGCTATTCACAGGGAAAAATAATAAGGTTGATTGCAATCAAGATTGTTTTGTGAGATTGGAAATGAGAAAAGAAGTTCTGGTACTGATTTACATTCCTATTTTGATTTGGGGAAATTGTTTTATCTTTGTTTTACAGATTTACTTGCGATTCTTGGACTATGAAATGCAGAATTCAAATGAATGCAAGAGGAATTTCGTGGCTGTGTACGACGGAAGCAGCGCGGTGGAGGACCTGAAAGCCAAGTTCTGCAGCACCGTGGCCAACGACGTGATGCTCCGCACAGGTCTGGGGGTGATCCGCATGTGGGCAGATGAGGGCAGTCGGAACAGCCGATTCCAGATGCTCTTCACATCCTTTCAAGAACGTAAGATTCTCTGCACTTGACTGTTTGTCCCTCAGCTATGTCACATGATGCCAGTCTCAAAAGCTGTGAATGGCGTTTTCTTTACTTGGTTGGAGCACAGCAGGGTTTTCCCCAATAAGTTGATAAAATCACTTTCCTTCATTTTGATCCACTGACAGGAGAGAGTTACACATTACATTTTGATTACTTATTTCAACATATGCATCATATCCTTGCTTAAGACAGTTTACAGTATTCAGCTGGGAAATGATGCATTCTGTTTGTCTTTGAAGTAGCTCTTAGGAAGCATGTGGAACTGACATAGCAGCTTCTGATGAAGTTTGATTTTAAACCTTAAAAAAATAAACCTGCCTAAAAATATTTGGTAGATTGTCTTTAGTAAGCCTCTCTTGCAGTCTCGTTTATTTCAAATAGTTTCGTGACTACAGAGTTCCATTTAAAGTAGGCAGGGAGAGAGAATTGCTTGCGTAGACAGTAAACAGAAAAAGTTCCAGAACATATTTAAAATGGCACAATGGGCAAGACTCAGAGTGAAGTGCAAAGCACGGAAATTTTAGAAAATTATGTTCTAACAAATAATAAGTCATATTAACAGACATATTTTGAATATTCTTTAGAAACTCTGAGTATCTCATGTGTCACAAATTTATGCAAAGGAAAAAGAATCCTGAGAAATGCAGCTTTAGGAAATAAGCACCTAGTGTTTTTCAACTATACATTTTTGTATAATTAGAAAACATGATAAAATATTTTTGAAATTTCAAGGATTTCTTTTATTATCAGCGGCAAAGCAACTGGTA